CTGTGAAAGAGTTACTCTCAGTCCACTAAACTCCGAAAACAAAACAGTAAAGCCAGCGATTTGTCCACTGACGCAGCTTTAAAAAGCAGTAAATCCTCTGTTTTACAAACTCAGTGAAATGTTTCTCACAGTAGCAAAAACTGAGCTTTTTCAGGACAATCTGAAGAGTTGACAAACTTTCAAAACGCAGGCTTGGTGTTTCACCGTATTCAGGGAAAACTGAGCATCTTAAGCCTGCTCAGAAAAGGTCAGGAGCTGGTGTTGAAGTTGAGAAAACAACCTTTAGTTCAGTGTTGTGTTGTTCGCAAAGGATTCGTTCAAAAGAGCAAATGTTTTGGGCGAATGAACTGAAGTGAATCACTTCCTGAAACAATCTTTTCATCTTTCAATTGTAAAAAATGCACCCTTTGCGATTGCTGGTTTTGTCCGGACGTCAGTTCAAAAATGAAATATACTGAATTATAGAAAAAAGAAAATTTGTGCCAGCAAATGGTTGGCAGTCCTCCACGATAAATGACTGAAGTTATTCAATTATTGTTGAAATTGCTGTCAGGACGAAACCTTCAAACTCCATGAAGGACATTAAGATGTGATCTGTAAGTCATTAGCTCATCTCATGATTTAAAGTCCCTTTAGTTGAACCCCACAGGATGAAAGTTTCAACACTCTGCTGGGGTCTTGTGTGTGTCTTGAGGCCTCCACCAATGGCGCCGCGGCAGTTGTTCTCTCTCTGAAGTCGTTCTGCATGTGGTTCAAGTTGAGGACTCGGGGCCGTCTGAGGAGGAATGCTCATCAAAATAAACTCAGCCGGGTTTCTTCTCTTCTTCGTCCTGGCAGCTGAGGAGCCTGATCAGGAGGTTGGAGGGACGGGACGGTCAGCTGGGACAGAGGCCTGGTGTGTTGCTGCGTCAAAGCTGCAGGAAAGCTGAACAAACAACGGTGTTTGTTCATCACAAAGCGGGCGGAAAAAAAAAAGGGACGTGACGAGAGATGAAAACATTAACGCCGCTTTCACGGACAGGTGTTGTGAAACCGGGCTTTTGTTTGTGCTTATGGAAGCTTCTGGGGTTGAACCACAAGTAATGAACTCTACCAAATACACCTCCTGAAAAAGGATATGGACAAAACAAGAAACCACATCTGAGTAAACCATCTGCTTCTTATACTCTTAGTAGGAGAACCACAGGCATAAAAACAAGGCACGAGGTCCTTATCTGGCCTCAGACTCAAATATTTTCCCTCACCGACTACAAAAAGAAGTCCTCTCTCTATTTTGACTGCGGCCTGAGACTATCTGCAGTATATCTGGTGCAACAATACCCCATTGTTTGCTTACAGGACGGACACAGAAACTGCTTTTGCGCAAAGCCAAGTCTACCCTCCCAAAGAAACCCCCACAGACGGCAGAGCGGCGTATCACAGGCAGATAACCTCAGAGAGCACGAGACCGGAGCTGCGTATGTGTCTAGCAATTCGTTTTGATTTCAGAGAGGAAGATGTGGAGGGGGAGACGGGGTGGAGGGAAGGGGCGGGGGCCTTATCTTCTAACGGCTGGCTCAACTCAAAACTGAACAAACTGCATGAAGAAGTCAGTGATGAACGCAGGTCCGCCCTGCTGCTGCTTTCAACACCGTCGAACGTCTTAACGGCTGCAAAAATCAACCGTTTTTTTTCCTGTTTGCTTTTCATTACTCCGTCCGAAACATAAATAAACCACTCATACATGTCTGCTGCTGCTCGTGATGAATAATATATGACATTTATATAGGAATAAATGTCACTTTGCTATTGACTTCTTCAATTTATGAAAGCTTTTCCATTTGCAGCCATTTATACACATTATAATAAAAGAAAACCTGGTGCCAACTCCTCCGTTTCTGGTGTTTGGCCTCAGTGACTTGACTTCATCATGCACTGATTGGTCGGCTGCGCGGAGGTGAGAAAGTACACTGGGTTTAAACTTCTCTCTCTTTCTTTTTTCATTCGTCACGCAACTATTTCTGTCACTTTTCAGACAGAAAAGTGCAACACTATGAATGTCTTCTAGGACAGACTTTGAAAATGTGTGCTGTCCCCATTTTTATCAATATCATGGAACTGCTATTAACATTTTTGATTTCTGACGTGTTAATTATCACAGACACAGGAACTATGGTCACAACCTCCCCTTTTGTTCCTGAGTTGCAGCATTGACTAATGGCCGGAAGTGTTTTTGCAGAACATTATGATGTCACAGTGAAGTTGACCTTTGACCATTTGAATATAAAATGTCATGACTTCATCATTTTATCCTATTAGAGATTTGTGTTAACTTGTGTCATAAACAGCCAACCATCTATTAGTTAAAAACCATTAATTAACTATTATTATTATTATTTCAGGGTGTGTTAAAAGAATTTAACACTGCTGACCTCCAGTGACTCAATTTCCCACATCCCAAACCACCAAACCAGCTGTTTAATACACCAGTGAGAAAAATGAGCCGGACTAAAACCTTTTCATGACAGTAGCAGTTGCAAATTCCAACTTGTAGCGATTTGAGATGATAAATCACAGGAACATGCTGGTTTACTCGCTCCTGCTACCCGTTAACACTTGGCAAGAAAAGACTGTTTAAGTTTAGTTCCCACACACATCTCTGCATGCGTGTAACAAGAACTGATCTCAGTGCAGTTGAAGCTTAGTCAATGGCAGCTTTATAAGCACACTTGTTGCTAGGTATAGCTAGCGACCCGTCAAAGATCCCAGGATTATCGTCAATGCACACAGATGTGCTAATGTCCAACAAAATGCTGCTCCCCTGTCGTGGCGGCACGCCACTGATTTAAGGTATGTCCTCAGGAAGTCATGGCCATCTGCTGCCAGAGCCAGTAATGAGAACTGACAAATGAAGCGAGCAGCAATAAAAGAACGACAGACAAAGAGTGCAGCCACAAGAGCCAAAACTGTGACTGACAGGTAACATCTGGAGAGTGAAAGAGCAGAATATCAACAGCAACGGTTCAGTCTATGCTCATGACGTATCAGAGTTAGTTACTACTGGGAATCTGAGATTTTTCCAAAAGCTCAAGTGAAAAGTAACAGATCCGAATGTAATGGGTTTCGAGCCGTACTGTCAGTGTACAGTATATTTTAGCCCTTCACATCATGACCAACCTACGATTCTCTCGAGATAAACCTGAGCGCTCACAAGTCGTAAACATGCGAACCATTTCCAGTCTCTCAGACCTTCCCACATGATGTGAAGCACTGAAATGTCAGTGAAGCAAAAAAAATATTTTAAAAGAGCATTATGGATTTTACTTAGGGGATTAATCTGCTCTCATTGTGGCTTTTATTTTATTTTTTAACATCATTTTGTTGCTTGTTACTTGGATTATTACTGTAGGAGTTAGTGCAGGGCAAACGCTCATGAGGTAAAACATCCATCGGTGTGAGGAAACTGTGACTTCATGATCATAAATAAATCAAAGAGGGTCTGTAGTAAGAAGGAAAGTTGGACTGGAGTTGTGGCAGCAGAGGGGTGGGGGGGTGGGGGTGGGGGGGTGATGAGGAGAGGGCGATGGGAGTTGGACGGTTGGAAGTGGGTGTATGAAGGGTTGGACCGGTTAGTGGAGTTTAAATATAGCTGGCAGAACAGCACTCACTTGTTTGTTGGGTGAAAAAAAAAAGAGAAAGCAGCAGAAACTCATAAATGATGTTTAGTGGAGCAGATTTGAAATGCAAAGAAAATCTCTGAGCTTTATTTGCCATTAGCCTGTGCACACGTCACACATCTGGAATCACAAGTCTAATTACTTTTAGATTTGTAAAAATGTAAAATAATGCTGCTTTCCAGTGTTTAACATGCCATTTCCAACACCCTTTCCCAGGTGGATGTGGCTGTTTCTTTCCCTCCAGCCTGTTCACTCACATTTTGTACTTGAACCACGTTTTTCAAATATGAAAACTGAGAGTTTAACGTGTTATATTCCAGCTTTTTTGCCTTCTGTCTGGCTGGCAATGAAAGCTTGAAAATATTTTTGAGGTCCTAGGTGAAGTTTTCCATGAGAACAGCGGCAGTCGGACCATATGGGAGCCAGATCTGTTTGCAAATGGAGCAGAGAACAGTTCGCTCGCTGTTTGTGTGTTTACTACAGGCGATTAGCTTCTGAGTATTTCACAGCTCTTTCTTAAGCAGCTCGAACTCCGTTAAAGGAAACAAAGTTAATTCTCACACAGGGCTCCTCTGCAGGTCCGTGAAGCGGATGAATTTCTGTCATTTCCTGCTGATGAGAAGTTTGGGAATCGCAGAGCGAATGTGGAAAAGCATGGGAAATATGTTAAACTATGTTCATTTAATGTACTAGTGTGTTGTGATAAGAATTCCTCCACTTTGAATTAAAGTATCATGCGTCTCACGGGTTTAACTGCTGTTTTTTGAGGGCATGAAAACACACGAAGATACTGATCACCAGAAAACTGCAATAGCAGATGAATTAGTGCAGTTAATGTATGAGTCTAACAGATTTGCTGCCTGAGACTGAGCGATGAGAGATGCAGTCATGCTGTTCAGACTGCAGCTTTAACATGTGATTCCCATTTGAAGGCTGAAAGATACGGACCTGAGTGTTGTTTTTATTTTTTTTTAAATTTATTGAACAGTCAAAGCTGCAATCTTTGACTGTTGGGAGCAGAGATGTCGTGACTAAACATGTCACGGTGACACGAAGACTTTTTTTTTTTTACGTTAGCCGGGTTTATTAGATTTTACATCTTCAGCTGGTCTGGAATTTGATAGGAGCAGAGCTGTGTAGCCATTGTTACAAAATAAGAGTTTCTGCAAGTTAAATTTAAGACTTAGTTTATTTATTTTTACATCATATTTTTTCAGTGCTTCCTTGCAGTATATATAAAAAAAACATTTGCTGGTTTTAGCTCTAAAAAAAATGAAGATTTGCTGCTTTTTTTTGTTCCTGAACAACAGTAAATGAAATACATTTCAGTTCTGGACTAATGGATGAAAAAAAAAAACAGCAGTTTGGAATAAAGATTTAAGACCAGTCTCTAATAAAAGATAAATAACTGAGGTTTGCCAAAAGGAAACAACAAAGCAGCAAAGATGCAGCGTCACCTCTGCAAACACATTTCAACAATTTCCAAGTCGTCTAAATTTATCCACACTCAACCAACTGCAGCATTTTTTACGTCTGTACCATCCTTTTTATACTTTGGCATGTGTGTCCTTTATTTTCTGTGAGAGCCGGTTTATAGTCTCTCAGAAGTAGTTCAGACATCAAAAGTGTTTACACCTGGTCTGAACTGCCACACTGGAGGGGCGGATCAATCAGGTATAAACTAGTAGAACCCGACCCTAATTGTTTACTGATGCAGTTAGGAGAGGTTCAGATTTTCAGTTAGTTTATACTGAAAAATACAGACAATTACTCTTTACCGAAAATAAATAAATAAAAAAATGAAATAAATGAGTGAATAAACTTGGTCAAAAAGTATTTTTAGTTGGGTCTTACAAAATGTGTAGTAGTCAGAAGATCAGAGTTGTGAGGTGGAGTAAGTTGCAGATGTTAATGGTAATGTGTCGAAACATTAGAGCAGTTAGTCAATATCCTGAAAAGTGACATGTTGTCTGAGAATGGGGAGCGACGTCGGCCCGTTTCAGCAGAAATTAATACCACTGACAAGTTTGTGGATGGAAAATGTGGGAACTTGAGATGCCTGACAGTAAATGTTACCAATGGAAAATAATTCTGTTTGAAACCACAAATGTCTGTTCATCAATGCCACCACCATATGAAAGAAGCAGAGTTCTGTTTTTGTTTTTTATTTAATAAGCTGTTTCATAAATTATCGCACATAAAAGATTCTTCTCAATAGTTACAAAGTGGATAGCAACTCGAGTTAGCGCCTGGAAAAAATAAAACAAATGAGAATAAGATTGTTGACAGTGGGGGGCTGTTTCTGAAGTTTGAGCTCGACAAAAACCAGTTCACAAAGCGGAGCGGAGAGAAGAGGGAGCGGAGCCGATGGCGTGGGGTTCAAACGTCCGACCACCGTTGAATCGTGTTTCCCGGTCGTCGTCGCCTTTCCTCGGGACTAGCAGCAAACAAAAACGGTGACATGCGTATTTTCAAAGCACATGCCGAAAAACAACAGAAGGAATTCTTGTTTCTGTTCTCCAGTGTATTCAAAAGTGTCTTAAAATCAAACCGAGGGAGTGAGGAAGGGAATAAATTATAAAATAAAAAAAAATTAAAAAAAAGAAGGACAGCACTAGCTACATGTGAGGCTCACGAAAACAAGTCAAACTAAAATGTACTGAAGTGGCATCTTCTTGGCTCGACTTTCTTTCCCCTTCTGTTCTCATGAGTGATGGATTTGACGGAGGGATAACCGGGGGCTTGACAGTAATTGAGTGGCAGCGAGGAGACGCTGGAGGAGCGTGTGACAAATCCTTCATTCATTTTTTCCTGTAAATCTTTATTCTTCTCCACAACGACTCCCCCTCCCCTCCTCCCCTTCTGATGGTCAAATCACAGCTGACCAATGAGCTTCGAGGGTTGATGTGTTTGATAAGACTGTTAAAAGGAAGGGGAGGTAACCCACCTCGCTAAAACTGGTCTGAGGAAGCGATGGTTGTCCGTCATTTGGCTAACGCTAATTTTCACTCTACGAGGCTGAAATCCTTCCTCACGCCAGGTCTGAGGATTCTAGCGGCCAGGGTTTCTCTCGCTGTGGATGGTGGCCTACTTGGACATTTGCAGCTGAACGTGCTGCAGGAATTCATGGTATGAAGAAGCAGACTCTGACCGATCCTCCACCATGTGCTGGAAGAAAGTGGATTTAACTGAGGCATCGTCCCTGCAGGAGAAGAAAAAAACAAAACAAAGACAAGCGTTAGAGCGATAGCAGAGCCTGGTTTGTAATTATGGATTCTATTAAAGGTGATTTTTATATACTACATATACAACACAATTCCTGAATTTTGGTTCTGATGTCAAAACAACAGCCAATTACTTTTTGTAATACACCGACTATGGATCAGTACCTCACACAACCCCACGTCAAATAACCCAAACTATTACTTTGCGTTAGCTCACAGGACGGGCTGATGGTACTGCACCTCAGCTGCACAGCACCCCCAAGAAAAGTTGGAGTGGTTTGACTTGTCACCTTGCTGCAGTGATGCACAGGTGCAGGTGGACTCCAGGGCCTCTGGGGCATCACTGTTGGGTGTGGCTGCAGGTGCAACTTCTGACCAACCAGACCCATCAGTGATCAGAGAGGAAGAGGTTTGAATGAGGTTTAAAGCCACAGCTCCTGTTGCATTTTCAACTTTGATTTATATTCTAATTTTAGATCAAGTCCCGTAACTCACCTCCCACCTTATCACATGCACTGTTTATTCACTGTTTCAGATCAGTCAGTCCATTTGTACTGACACCAATCCTCCTCCACAACAACACTGTGGAGTCAACATGTAGTTGAGCAACAATGCATCACCACAAAGGAGGAGGAGGAGGGGGTGGGGGAGAGAGAGAGAGAGAGAGAGAGAGAGAGAGAGAGAGAGAGAGAGAAAACAGAAACAATACAGAAACAATACCTTCCCTGTGGAAGCCTTTACCGCTGTCATCTGTGACCTCACTGCTTACTATGTGTTTACACTGGAAATAGTTTTCTGTCAACCTCAACCCCTGCTGGGAGAAGGTTTCAACTTTAACATGAAACCGGTCACACCCCGTTTCTGTTCAGTGCCAGGCGAGAACAGCTCGCTGGAAATGTGAGGACATTTTTTTCAGAAAACTGGCAAGAACAAGCTCTTCACTGTCAGATATCAGGGTGCAACAAATAAACTATGGGACATAACATCTCATTCTTTTTAGCCTGGTGGTGTAGATGCATTCTCTCTCTCTCTCTCTCTCTCCATATATATATATATATATATATATATATATATATATACATACACACACTCTATCTCTAACACACACAGTGTTTCCACCTTCCTGTCACCACCCCCTCATAAAGGGGCTGACTAGATATTAATTAATAGTTTACATTAAAGAAAATAAATGCCAAAAATATGGAAACATGTCTCAATTCAAGAAGCCGTCTTGCCAAACAGCCCAAAACTTTCTCAAATATATTCAGTTTCCCATCGTATAGAGAGAGAAGCAGCAAAAGCTCCTGTTAGAACATATTTTTTTTGTGGATTAATGAATTTAACCATCAAAACATTTACAAAATGAATATCCTTATTACTGCTTATCTCAAAGCCGCCATGTCCCAGCAATACCACTACAGTGTGATGTGACCTGTGACCTCTATACGCGGTGATTTGTGCTTCTAAATTGTTTACACCACAAATGATATTTTTACCTGATGGATATTTGAGTAGCTTGTCACAGTAACCTGACAGCATGTAATGTAAAACATTTTGGCTTTATATTTATTTTAGATGGGGTGAAGAACAAAGCGTGTGGTGTGGTAATCTCAGTGTCCTAAAAAATAAATAAACTAACAATAATAAGTATCTCTCCGCTCTCTCTACATAAACTGATTTCACAGCAGCAGGAAAAGTAACGTCAATGAAATGATCTAAAAAACACTCAGCTCCCAAATTTCTCTTCTTTCTAATGAACCAACAACAGGGCCTCTAACAGGCAAACCTCCTCACGTCTCTTGCAGCTACTACTATTGGTAATAGAGGAAGTGAAAATGATTTCAGTTGCAGTGATTTGATGTCGTTGCTGACAGAGAGAAGAAACCGCCTCCTTTTATAGGCAGGTTTCCATCCACCAGAGAGGACATACCAAAAAAAAAAAAGTTTTCCCAACTGGCTGAAATGGAAAAGTTGGTGTGTCGACAAAAGCAAAATGCAATTAAATGCAATGGACTTAACATAAATAATAAATAAATAAATCATGACGTACATGAAGCCCACCTCATGACCCTCTCACACTTTCTAAAATCCTGCATCTGGATATGAGAAGATGCGTTCAGTCACGCTGGACGCTGAGTGTTAATTAACGTCAGATGTTAATCCAGATGTGCGGCAGTGCTTACTTGACGACGTGTACTGTTGAGCTGAACGCTCTGTTGTCCTGCAGCCAGTCGAGGAACGCTCGCACTCTCTCGGAAAGAGGAGTCTCCAGCTCAGGAATGTGACTCTGAGAAAGAGACGAGAAGCACAACATCAACAACGCTGCTTTCACTGCAGCGTGTTTCAGATAGGAAACAGAAAACGTTGAGTTCCACAGTCATCTAGAAATACGCTTGTGGTTTGTGAGTAGGTGGCTCTGGGACGCAGTGACCTCTTAGTAGAAAAATAAAATAAACAGCATAAACAAGTGCTGACAGCTGCTGTTTGTTCTGTGTGTTGCCATCGCGGCCACAGTGCGGTGATGACAGAGCTTTCTAGGTAGCTGCACGGTTTGTTAAAAAGCTACACCAGCAAATCTGTTCTGCTGCACGAGTTATTTTTTAACAATGCAGACAGAACTGCAGTTGCTCCCTGACTGTCGAGTAAAGCTGTGACTCATTTCCAAGGGAACATGTACAATGCTGGATTGCATCATTCATGCAACAACTGGGCGGTGGATCTTTTTGTCCGCTCAAGACGTACAACAATACAGCCACTTCCCTAATCACAGTTAATTTCCTGACATGTTGGATGTGGACAAAACCTCCTCCCTGAACAGGCTGAATAAAAAGCATCATTTTTAATTTGCTCCTGCTGAATGGAAAGGTGCAGCTTCTTTTGTCTCACTGACCATGTTGGGGGGTATTGAAGCGTAGTTGGGGCAGCCCAGAACATCTCGTACAAACATCTCATTGCAGCATTTGCCGATCCACAGGTAAAACACCTGCAGACAGAAACAGAGCAGCGTCAGCACAGAGGATCACACTTTCCTGATCTTAAGTAAGGATCAATAAATTCATAAATAAATGCAGCTCTATGTGCAACAATCAAAGTTTATAGTAAGAGTTAAAGAATTAAAAACTGATGGACAGACAGATTTGAAGGATATGTTGTTTCCGGGACCTTTAGGAAACTGAATCAATCGTTTTTTTGTTTTGTTTTAGATGTTTCTCAGTTTCGACAATATCACAACCCACCCACACAACAGTATTTCAAATACCAACAGCAACTACAAACAGGGGTAAAACTGTTCATACCTGACAGTTAGGACTGATATTCACTGTCTTTGTATTGGATTCTTTCTTGTCAACAACTGGAATGATTCAGTTTCCCCTCTGTATTTTATTGGTTTGGGTGGAAACCCCCTTAAAATTAAATTATGTGACACTAAAATTCAGATTGGCAGTGGTGACGCAGCTGCTGTTGCTTTGTTCAGGCTCAAAACGAGAAAACACAAGAGTTTTCCCAATCCTTAACTTCTCCTTCTTATAGGCCAAAATGCACTAGCCTTTAATTTACTTCCAAAACTTGTAGCAAAAGATGAGAAAAAATATTCATGAGGAGAAATAAACTTCATGTCCTTTCTCTGTAGCGTGCTTTATGAATAAATAATACTGAAATCTTACATTTCCGCAGTCCATGAGGAAAGCTCCATCTCTGCTCACCCTCTCAGCGGACAGGTGGAGCAGGTGAGGTTGTGGAACCACTGTGTCGTTTAGATGCAGCGCCCCCTACAGGTCACAACAAAACCAGAGCAACAGATTAGGTTTTTATCTCTTGTTTTTTAAATATCAAAAGAAGAATCACTTCAATTAAAAACTATGTAAAAAGTAAGTAATATATGTGCAGTGAGAGTTGTTTTCCAGTTTCCATAGAAACTTAAATAATGCTCCAAAGGTTTACGATGTTCAATAGTTCACATGCAAATACCCAAGGTCTCCAAATAATTAAAAAATATATATGCTGAAGGCTTTCCCTTTTAATTATTTAAGTAACTCAAAAAGTGACAGTAACAAAAATATTGCGACCAATGTAACGGAGTATTTTTACTAAAGTATTTGTACTTGACTGTTTCCATTTTATGCTACTTTAGAAATATTGTACTACATTTATCTAATAACTATAGTTGCTATTTACTTTTCAGATTAAGATACATACAAAACAGCTCCACCTTTAACATGATAACATCATACATAATACTTAACATTATAATAATAACACATAGTAAATACATAGTAACCACAATGATAAATATGATAAACGACACTCTGAAAGCCATTCTGCACGATTCCTTCGATACTTCATTTACATGTTGCTGCTAATAATGTACTTTTATTTGAGTGAGGACTTTTACCTGTAATATTTATCGCTACTTTAACTTCAGTAAAAGATCTCAATCATTCCTCCACCACTGGTTATGACTGTTGTAAGTTCAACGCCTGTTCAACAGGGTGTATCCAGTCACTCCAACGTAACTGACTCATCATCCAAATACCACTTAGCTCAGTCTTGTCCTACCTGGTCTGACATGTTGTCCAGCCTGTACAGGTCAGGATGAACCATCCGCATCAGCTGCTGCAGCGGCTGCGTCTTGAACTCGCACATGGCAAAGACCCGCTCGTCCAGCCGCGTGCTGGTGCCCGTCCGCAGCGCTCTCTGGAGAGAAATGTTTTCAACACCGATTTATTTTTGTATTCATTCATTCAATTTTAAACTCCTAAAAACCTCTAAAGATCATAACACTGACAAATACTAATAAAGCAAATCCCTATATTCGAATAAAGGTGGATTAAACAGAGGCTGCATCAAATAAGAATAAAGGAGGAATCAAGATGATGACTGTTAATGGTTTATCATTTAATCGTCAAGAATAACAGTCCATAGATGATGTCATCTAATGTGATTTTCTTGTTTCCAGGTACGTTTTTATTTTCATTTGCTCCGTTAGGGACCATGAATGGTTTAGGGTGTGCACTAATCTGACCTTTAGGGGTTTTTGTCTCAGATGACACAAAGGGTGTGAGCTTGTGTCTGAACGTGAACACACCCTGGATGTATGAATGGATGATGAAGTTCTGGGTGGATGAATAGAGCCAGAGACTGTGTAGGAGTCCGTCTGACTGTAAGCTCAGCCTTTATTAGTGTGTGTGTGTGTAGATCATTTTGCACCTCAGGTAGAGGGAGTTTTCAGGGTGTGTAGTGATGATGTAAATGCAGTTCTAATTATATTTTAAGATGTGTCATGTAGCTGCAGAGGTTTGATTACTGTGCGTTCTTTTGTGTCTTTATGTGCCGATTCCTGTCAAAAAAGCCGCACCTGTTTGAGCAGAGCGAGGATGTAGAGAGGGAACAGGCACATGGAGGCGGGGACAACGAGGCCCGACTGCTGCAGGTTCGACACGTTGCTTTTGTAGGCGCTCACCAAGTCCACCACCGCGTTCACCAGGGCGTCCCGAGCATCCGACAGGCTGGATGATATCGACCGGTCGATGGCTGGAATGGGAAAGCAGAAAAGACGGGATGAAGAAGAGCAGTCCACCTCTGAAAAGGCATAAAATTCCTGCATCTCCTAAGCAGTTAACTGAACGCGATGCCTTTTGAAATGTTGCCATTCTTAACTAAACACTGTCATATTCTTTACACTGGTCATTTTCAAACCATACCAAAGAGTTTCAGATCTTTTCATCTACTTTTCCCCCCATGCAATAGCTTTAATCATTTGCGTGCATAAACTTGCTTGAGTTGTTTAACTCAACACAGCGAACCAAGTTTCCATTCAGTACATTCCTGTATGGAAATGAATGGGAACCAATGGGTAAGGCCTGAAACGTTACAGCATTGGTTTTCAACATTTTCTTCTGTTGCTTGATAATATGTTTAAAAATATCAATTTTATTTGCTCATTTTAAGTCGATCACAGTGAAGCAAAGGGAACATTAGTATAAGTATAAGTAAATACTTTCCAAGGCAAACTAACGTACTTAAAAATAATGTGACATTTAAGTGTTTCTGTTAGAGACTCACCCATGTTGGCCAGCAGACAAGTGATAGCTTGGACATCAGCCCCAGCGTACACGTCACTCAGCTGGTTGACCACTGGCAGACACAGAGTGTGAACTCGGATACGCCTCTTTCCTGTAGGAATGATCAGAGACAGTAAAACTGCAGTTTTTTTTTTTGTTTTTTTACTTGTTTGGAAATCAGAGAGAGAGAGAGGATTTAAGAGATTTAAGCAAAGAAAAAAACTTCACGGCATCACACTTACATTAGCTAAGTAGGTTAAATGAACTATTAAAAGCCATTTGCAAAAGGATTAGTATTTGACCAACTGTGGGTCATGTGTCAGCATCCAAATGTTTTTTAAAAACCTTTATTCATCAAATGGTGTTTTACTGTGGAATAAGCATTAGTAACTCTGCTCCACATGTTCAACCCAGGAAATCAGCCAGAATAACTACACGCTGCTCCTGCCGGCTGCTGCAACAGGTCAGCTTGTAAAAGTCTTAAATGGCACTCAGACGGATTGAAATAGTGAAGAATGTACTTTGGCCAGTGACCCGCAGACGTTCCCTCACAACGATCAAAGTGTGTGTGAGCTTGTGTACCTTTATTGGAGGTGTAGAGCAGAGCAGCCTGGAAGCAGGCCAGCGATGAGTCTGCCAGAGAGTCTTCGATTGACATCTGGACAGCGAAGGCAGAATCCGGGTTCACATTGGCCAGGGACAGCAGGTCGGTGGAGCGCACAAAGAAGTTACCGTGGAACGTGTGGATGGATAAACCTGAGGGCGAGCAGACAGGAGGGCAGGGACAACAATTAGGTTTGAAAGAGTTATGCAAAACAACTGCAGAGAAAAAAACAAACAAAACTGAAATGCAAAAGTACACCACATGTTCAGGTAAACAGATGCAAAGACAAAATATCACACAGCAGGTTGTGGAATCGCACAGATGTTTAACCCTGTTAAAAGGTAAGAGGCATCCAGGCAACCCAGTGTCAATAACAGCTGCCAACCAAATGTTACCTAATCTTAAGTGACACGATAAGTAACATCGTCATATGGGATAAAAAATGTCCGCAGGGACAGTGCGAGTGACCTCTGATCCAGTTACCTTTAGTGCATCGTATTCTCATAACCGCCTCGAAGCCGATCTTCCTGGTGAGGTAGCGCTCGAGATCTCCTTGGAACTTCTCCAGCTGTGCCGGGTTGTGGATGTAATGAAAGGAGGGGTAGTAAAAGATGCTGCCCGCCGAATACTTGGAGATACAAGCTGGAGAACAGGAGCAGGGAAAGAAGAAAGGTTTTCATTTAAAAGCTATAGAGGGGTACAAACTTTCCTAGTGGTTCTCAAAACAAAAATCTATCTCTTGAGTATCAAACATAAGCTTGATAGGAGACAAGAAGCTCCCTCTGAAAGACTGCAGATGTAGACATCGTAGATTCAAAGCTGTTACAATGGACTCCAGTAATAATCCTGAATCAATCTGTGCCACAGAGCAAGCGACCAGCTTTTAAAAACCACCTTTTAAACCGACAGTGATTGTTTGACACAGAAAAGAGAGAAGAATAGTAAAAGAAAGAAAACCTCAGGCTGATTCAATCATTAGTTTTTGATGCAGCCTGTCACAGTAACCACTAATTTTGACCTGTTTACCCATCCGTTAGATGTAAAGACATTTCACTCTGAATCAAAGTACTGGAATGACAGATAAACAGACCAGCTGACCAAAGAGTGGCTAAAGAGTGTGAATTTTGGACGTAGGCATTATTACCCAGTGAGGCGAGGTCAGCATACTGGGAGCTGAGCAAGAAAAGATCCACCCCAATCTGTTGTCCTGAGCAGTCCAGTGCGAGTTTCTTATAGAAGTCTGTGGCGGGGCCGAGATTCTGCACACCCTGGAAGATACAGACTTGTTACAAGAAAGTAGAGGAGGAAACCACCAGCACCAGATTTAGGAAGGGTGTTTTTGGACTGAAAATATCCACAAAGTGATTTATGATATCACTTGTACAAGGATGGAGACAGAGGGCGCATAATTTGGCTGATGAAGAGCCTCCCTTTTTTGTATATTTTCCAAAGCTTCCTTATTTTTATTTTTCAGCCTAAAAATCCTCCAGAAAACTCAGACTCTATTTTCTATGGAAAGTGATTGTCTGTTCTTTAAAAAGGACCTCTATTCTTAGTTCGTATTATTAATTTTTGGAAACCACGGCAGTAACTTCTTGGCAGGGTCTCTAAAGTGAAATGTGAGATCAAATTGTGATGTTGTGGCTGGTAATAACAGCGGGTTGTGCAAGGAATATAAATTTGGCAGTACTGAAAAATCCCAGGACAATAATTATAAATCCACACAGTAGGGGTGGGGGGTGGGGGGGCTGTGGAAGAGACATAATTTAGCTGTTTCTCATCTGTCATATGATTTGCTTTAGGAGTCATAAATCACAGGGAACAGGACACTACGATCATCAGCAGCACATACCAAATCCCAAAATTCAACCATCAAAAAATATTATATTACAACCACAATTAAGTGCCTTAAAACAGTAAAATATCTGCCCTCTCGCTCATACCTTACTACTCGAGCGCTGGTTGGGGTCTTCCCTTGATTGCAGCATACCAGCACCCAGCGTGGGCAGCTGGGTCTGGAAAACTGTGACGCGGCCCCCGGTGGGTGACATGAGCTTGAAGGCGGCCTGTAACGCTGGGCCGAGGGCGCTGTGGGTCTCCCTGCTCTGACTGAACATGGCCGGCAGCGAGGTCAGCAGGTCCTTCACCAACTGGAGGAGGAGGAGAAGGAGGGGGGGAGAAATTTAAATGACAAATAGGAAACTAATGGAGGTGGACACAAAGAAGTTTCATTAAATTCAAGACTTTATTTAAATGTAATGAGGAGAGGAGCGGGGAGAGAGTGAAACAAGGGCATGAACATGAGGAAGATGAAGGGAACAGAGGTGAGAATGGATGGATGGAGGACAGAGGGAGAGAGACGCAAGGGAAGGGAAGAGCAGGTGGAAGAAAGGAAACAATGAAGGGAACAGAAACAGGGATGTAAGAAAGAAAAGGAAATGATCAGGACAAGAGAGAAGAATCAAAGGAACTAAAATGAAGAGAAGAACAGTCTACCTCTTTGCTCTCCTTCAGGTTCACCATCAGACTGTCATGAGACGGTATGAACACATCTGCAAGAGAAAAACCGCGACACAAACCAAAGCAGAAAGTTTCACAAAATGTTCAGATCGTATGAAAATATGACACGTTCCCACTCCTACCACCTACTGATGGCAGGTAGAGCTGCTCTCTTCCAGTAGCACTTGACTGTGAGTAATTGAATTCATTTTAAACATCAGGATGCAATTTAAAGTCAAGGTGAGTGCTTCACCCTTTTTGCAAATTACATAGCAATAAATAAAACACAATTTCTCTATAGTTATTTTAACAATTCGACCAAGATTTAATCATTAAACTTATATGTGAACCATATAATCATGGAGATATATACGTGGAGATATGTGGATTCTAATCCTCTGGGGATATGAAGTCTTTTGGAGTTATGAAGTTAAAATCCTCCAAACCTCAGCTCCCAGTAAAATACTTACAATATAAATGTCATGTTCCACATCCACTGGTGGCAACTTGAGGTGAATTTATAGGCCTCTCTTAAGTTAGCGTCTTTTCTTATTGTAATTTAAAAATACTCTAATTAATTTGGAACATATTCTGGAAATGAATAGTATTAAATACTTTCTGTGATAAATCTATTAAGATTTCTTGAAAAATAATATTTATATCTGGAGACTGCTGCTACCCACTATCAGCAGTTAAAACAGCAAAGTTACTTTCCCTCCTGATGATGTGAAATCTAAATCCTGATTCCTGTTACCAGACGTACCGTCTATATCAGACACCACCAGCATTTGTGGCTGGGACAGTCCCTCCTGGAGGTTGTAGAAGTGGATGGTGCTGTCGAAGGTGAGGAAGCCCACCCTGGTGCGTGTGTCCCCCGGCAACCTGAAGCACAACAACTACCTTTTGTCAGAACTGGTTTAGATAGAAAGAAAAGTATTCCAGAGAAAAGGCTGTGACAGCTGTTTACAACATCTGCTTATATTAGAGAGTGTAGACAATTTAAATTTCTTTACTTGTGCTTTACTGCAAGAATCAACCAGCGACATTATAAATATATCAACAGGACTCACTTATCCAGGTTATCAAGAAGTGATTCACAGAGATACTTCAGGTAGCCTGCCTCCACTGCATTGTGAGACACATCGAGGACAAACAGGTAGACCGCCGGCTGAGGAGGTCGCAACTGGCAGAACAAAAACACATCATCAGTGGGGATGTAATGAACTTGATACGTTCTTAAAAAGAGCTGACTGGATGTGAAAAGGCACGAGTTAATTTCATTATTAATTCAGTAAAGCGTCGCCTCACACTCTCTTTTGTCTGTTAAAGTTCATGCAGTGTGCACACACTAGCCTTCAGATGCTGTAGCAGCAAGACAAGACTGCCCTCTAGTGGACAAACTTTCACACTACATGGAAATTCATAACTGCACAACAAACATTATACAATAAAAATTCACTATTCTACAAGAAGGACAGACGTAGCTTACCATGTAGTCTGAGGAGGCGATGAACTCCACAGTGGAGTTCTGAACCTCGGGTCTTTTGTGGGGCTCGCCGTACGACCTGGTGACTGGGTTGTACATAAACTCGTCTGGAACTGAACAAGAAAGAATAAAAGCGAGTGAAACATCTGCAAAATTATGCAGAACACAAAGTGATATTACATTAATAAACATATAGGACAGGACAGAGCAGCTGAAAACAGAACATGAGGCAGAAGAAGATGTAGAGAATAACTTCTGACTGGACTCCTACCATCATTGACCCGGTAACAGAGGTTACACTTCCACCTGCGCTGGTCCAGGAAGGTGACAAAGGGATTGATGTAGGTGCGACAGGAGCGACAGCGCACTATTGTGTTCGAAGTGATCACCGGTAATTGCTGCAGAGAAGAAAAAAAAATCCAAATGTGGCTTGTGAGATGAGTGTTTCAAATGGTAAATGGACTGCACTTAGTGTAGTGGTTTCCTAGTCTTAAAGACTATACAGCGCATTCATACATCACACCCACACTCAAACTGATCGAACAGCCATCAGGGGGCACGGATCAAACCACCAACCTTCTGATTAGCAGATGACCCGCTGTACCTCCTGAACCATAGCCGCCATTTTTTCCTCTAAATTTTACATTTTCGTTCCACTTTCAATCATGACCTTTTCCAAACATTCCACTATTCATGACTCAACAAACGACTGAAGAGAAGCTTTGTTTGTTTCTTAGAGAATGTGATTGAACAAATCTTTGCAGCTGCAGTCTTTGTGTGACCCACTCCCCCGTCCGTCTCTTATGATTCTAGGATTGCGTGATTGTACCAGGATCGCCGTAAATCCTCTACACTTTAACTTAGAACCTATTAATTATGTAGTTATTCTTCAGTTCACACGAAAGCTGCACTGTCTATTGTTGGACTAATTGTTTTCTCTTGCAATTTAACAAACACTAGAGGTGAAATGATTCGTCAGTTAATCGCTTAGTCAGTCAACAGAAAATTAACTGGCAACTATTTTGAAAATCCATTCATCGTTACAGTCATTTCACAAGCAGAAAGAATTTGTTGATTCAAAGTTTGAAATTTATCTTTTTTATATCATTCTTAATTGAATATCTTTGGATTCTTCATTTGTTGGACAAAGTCAGAAGTTGTATTTTGAGCTGAAATTTGCATTTTTATTATTATATTGCATATTTATTACTTTCTGACATTGAACAGACCAAACAATTGAGAAAATTATCATTTGTTACACCCTTGGCAAGGACGCTCTGATGCCGACGTGAGCTCAGTATCTGCTTGAAAAATGAAGCAAAGCAGATTCATAACTGCCTTTATTTTTTTTTCAAAAACGAATTCTCAGCGGTTCCAGGATTTAGAGGTGACTCTGGTAGAAGTGTGTGAGGAGAACGAATGTCTGTTTTACATTTCAAAAACAAATGATCACAACAGCAGAGTTGTGCTGTGTGAAATTGGCAAGTGTAGTAGTGTGAAGCACGTGGTGACTGTGAAACCTGTATCCATGGTGTTACAGAGAAAGCAGTAGCGCCTGGGAATTGGCAACTGTTGCATAACCTGAACATGGTTCCAAGGTTGTTGAGCTGTTTTACTACATGAATACGAATTAAAGCGTTTCTCAAGGTCTTATTTTTGTTCAGCGAGTCCCTTACAAATGGCTTTAAAATGTACTTGTCCCTTTCCCAGTTTTCTCCAGGCTGCTCCACTGTTAGAACAGCCAGAATACGTCCAACAGGCTGCAGTTGTTGCTGCGAATAAAGTTTCCAGCCACTTCCGAGCTTTGGCCAGCGTTTGGCTCCTATCGCTGTTTTTCACGTGGTATCAGTGCATCGCTGTTCTTCGTCAGCTCGCTCTCTGACACCACGTGACCTAACACTTCTATAAATACACTCACGACAATCTTCCTTCATCTTATCATCGTCCTCCTGTACTGCTGTCACTGCAGCTGCAAACGCTCTACAGAAGACTCCTAACTGTCTCAGTATGTTGTGAGCAAAGAAAGCAAAAGAAAAGAGCAATAATCCACAACTTTCACAAGCTGAAAGCAAAATACAGTGAAATATAAAATATACATTCATGGGCTACAGACTTTTTTCAGACAATCCAATGGGTTTTAAATTGTTTATTGGCTTAAGAAGTGAGTGACTTTTCTGAACTAATAAAGAAACAATAAATTTGAAGATATGGTTTCCACTGGACAGCATTGGTATACGAATATTAATTTAATCAAAACCTGTGGAGGGATCCTTATTTTGTGTTGTACACTGCACAAACAGTGTAACGAGGAAGAAGAAGTGAAAAGAACTGCAGCCTACAATGACGGTTTTTAATCTCAGCGTGTTGGGTACCACACCAGACTAACGTCAGCTATCACCAAACCTCTCACCACAAATCAGGGGAAAAAAAAAAAAAGAAGTTCTGCAAAACTTTACAATGCAACTGCTATAAGTAAGAGCAGCAACAGTGATGTTAGTGTCCTGAGTTTTCCTAACACAATTTATATGATAAGATTATAAGATTTTTTTTTTTTTCTTTTAGAAAAAACAGAAAACTCTTCTCACAAACAAAATGGTAGAAGTTAAAGAAAAGTTAAAGCTCCAATTCAAAAACTTTATTCCTGGCTGTCAAAAAGCCCTATTGGTCACCACCCTACAAAAACATTTGAAGCTAATTTATCTCTGAGACAGCAAAATCTATCTGAGACAAAAGCTTTATGTCTGAATGTTTCACTTTGTTGAGCTTTTTATAGTTGGCTCATACCTGTAAGTCTCTGAAGGGGTGAAGGAGAAGGCCCAGAGGGAGCCTGGCCTTGTTGAGTAAAGCCTGGGTCTGGGGGATGCTAGTCAGTGTACACCTGAAGGTCCTGATCAGCAGAGACACAAGAGAGAAAGAGTGGGTTAGATAACACATCTACAGATTAGACATATCCTGCTTTGCATTTCATCAAGTCTTTGAATTATAATGTGCACTCACTGCGTTCACTTCCCTGGCTTTTACATCTTTTCAGTTTTGCCTTATTTTACCCACAAGTTGCTTGGGTAGATAACAAGACTTTATTTGGTAATCGAACGGTTAACTTAACTGCTAAATTTCATGCTTTAATCGCAGTTGTAGCCTTAGCTAAGATTAGTCAAGATCCCCTACACTTTACTTACTGTGGACTGCAATTGACCTTCCTGAGGTCAGGGCTGAGGTTGGGTTCAGGGGCCTCCAAGGGCCTGGGGGGCAGCAGGTTCCTCTCCTGCAGAAGGTTGACCGGCCTCAGGGCCTCCACCTCCAGCTCTGGCACCCCGCTCAGTCCCCCCAGGGCCGCAGACAGCTGGGACAGGTTCGGAAACGGCTGAATAAGAGGGAGGGCAGAAGGAGAAATAATACGTTTATACCCTTGTGATCAATCCAGCCTGGTGTGGCAATACAACAAGAACACTTCTACTTCTGCAAGAGAAGACAAGAAATTCAACTATCAGCCTAACTTACTGCCAAACTGCAATAAAGATCAGTGAGAGAAAGCTTCAATAACTTCATTAATAGTTGTTAAAAGATAAAACTGGCATTGATTTGTTGAAACTTTTGTTTATAATGAACAAAAAAAAAAAACAGCAGCTTCATCCTCATCCTTAAACTTGCAAATGCTGTACTGATATTTTTGGCCACTTGGGGGCAGTATAAACAGGTTTTGAACACAACATTTGCATATCATCACCTTTTAAAATGATTTGTCACCAAATTTGTCACCAAACAGTTGCATATTTACAAATCCAGCTACAAAGCAACATTATCACTCAATTACAGTCATACTTCTGGACACCTGGCAAGTTTAAGTTCAATAGTCACTCTCTTTTAGCTGTTTTTGGTCTCTACCAAGTGCTATGGAAAAGATCTGGCTCTTCAGCTGCTGAATGTTCCACTATGATCACCAGCTAGTCTCTAACTGTGCCTGTCTGCTGTTTAGTGCAGGAAGCATACAGTGGGATTTGACTACTTTTTTTCTCTGAAAACAGCTGTGGCAAACAAATAAAAAATATCTGACAGAGATATGGATCCAGGCTGGTATAACTGCTTGTCATTAAATGAATCCACAATAAGAAATCACCAGTCAACACTTCTCAGGAACTGTGGCCTCACCTGGGAGTACTGCTGGTAGCTTGACTGGCCGTACAGGTCGTGAGTTGGGGAAGAGTCACTGTGGGAGGCCGGTCCCTGCCGATAGGCTGGCTGCATGCTGGGGTAACCATAGCTACCGTAGGACTGAGCCTGGTTGGTCATGTCATTAGAAGGTGGCATAGAATCTGAGGAGGACAAAGAGGTCAGCATTAAAGTAATGTGATGTATATTTGAAACACACAAGTGGTTTTCAGTGTTAGTATAATTACAAAAGTGCAAAGATGCAGTTTGAATACATGATATTTATGTGGAAATATGCATGTGTGTGACACCTTTGCTTCATAGGCTTTTGCATAAGTTGAGAAGTGGATGACTTTCTCCACACCTCCTCCACATGCTTAACTTGCTACAACATGTTTTAAATTAATTTCAAAGTAGAAAAACATATAATTATATTGATCCAAACAACTTTCAGACACTCCCTGATTGTTTAGTTTCACTTTCAATCAACCTGCTGTGTCAATTTGTTTTTGATTTTCTGTTTCGGAAACACTGAGTAACACTGTTTGACGACCATTACGATTTTTGGGTGTATTTATCACCGAAGTCAAACCCTGTCTGCAAAATGCAAATCAAATTTAATTCAAGAAGTATTTCAAATTGATGCCCGAAACAGGGAGCACATTATCAGCTGTGTTAGGGGAGTATTAAAGTGTTGTGCAGACTTTCTTCTAAACTCTTACAATATAAGTTATAAATAGATATTGTCACGGAACCCTTGCACTCACTGTGAATTACTTTCAATAAAAGCAGCAGGTCAATGCCAAAACTAATAAAACTATCAACTCACAGGGGCAGCAGGCCTTGCTAAGCGCTTTGTGATGTGATTGATTTGTGTATATGCCTATTATTTAGATGTACAGTAATATGTTTATGATGAAGATATACCTGGATAGTTGCCTCCTTCGAGGGAATCATAGCTGTTGGGCACCGGAGAGGCACTGCCAGTGGTGGAGGAGGAAGTGTCACCACCTGGGAGAGGAGAGAGAAAGAATGACACACATTAAGAATTAAAAACTGAAATTACAAACAAAAGACTGGATGAGAGAACTGGAAGAGTAAAGAATGAATTAAATATAGATAAACAAGGACCCAGAGGGATAGCTAAATAAAAAGTACAACCAAAAGGACAACTAAAAAAAAAGCTAAAAATAAAAAGTAAGAGAGACAAAGGAGCGAAAGAAAGGCTGAAAGATAAAATAGGAAGATTAAAAAGAGAATGGAGGACAGCAGCTGTAAATGTAGTCAATAAGGAAGAGGGAAGGAAGGATGGTCAAGATAAAAATGAAAGAAGAGGAGGGAAAGAGGGAGAAGAACAAAAAGATGAAACATTAACGAGAATGAAAAGGAGCTTTTTTTTTTGTTTGGCCATGAAGTGTGCTGTGCTTGGACTCCCTCTGGGCTCAGAGAAGAAGAGAGGGAAAGAGCAGGCAGAGTGAATACAGGGAAGAAAACACGATGAAAGGACGCCGCAGCCTCTGAGGACAGAAAATATGGTGGCAGCCGAGATAAAATATGGAGGATAGCTACATGAGAATAGCCAAAGATTATAAACATTATGGTATCAACTCTCGATTTCTGTCTCTCAGTCCTTGATTCACTGTTACTTACTTTAGTTTCCATCTCATTTCCCCCATAGTCTACGATACACACAGTTTCTCCCTCGGTATTCTCTACCACACAATTCATAATGTTTTTTTTTTTGTTTTTTTTTAAACTCATGACTTTGGAAGGAAAAATGCCAGAAAAAGGTTTGGAGGAAGAAGAAGACTGACCAGCTGATGTAAACAATGCAGGTGTTAAAGACACTTGCTAGGAAGGAAATGGAAACACATTTGTTTGACCTCAAGGATGCATGTTGGTGAGTATCACTGAGGTGTTTGTTCACAACAGTGCATGAGGAAGTCCTGCATTAAAAATCTTACTGAAGTAAAAGTATAAAAAGGACCATCAGCAGAATGCACTTAAAGCATCATATTAAGCGTTCATGCAGTAAAGTATATGACATTATTAGATTAATACTGATGCATCACTGTGTCAGCAGCATTTTTCAACTGCTTTATATACAGTTAGGTAGTTAAGTCCAGTGGTTGCCGCCCTAACTGCAGCTTCTTTTTATTTTCACCCACTTTTCTTCAAACAGCTTCATGACTTTTACCCTTAGTTAGTGATTTCATACATTTCCCAGAAGGCCTTGCAACAGCTCAGAGAGACTGAGGCAAGAAATTGAAGCAGTGCAGCAGCAGCCATTACTCAGATCTCAGAAACTCAATAAGTCTAGTCGATACAGTATAATGGTGGCTTATGGTGCATTCCATTAAACCCTTACACCCCCGGTTCAAGTCCAGCCTTCATTCCATGTCATCCCACTATCTCTGCCCTCGCATTTCCTGTCTCATTTACCACTGTACCTTCTGAGTCAAAGGCAAAATGTAAATCTTGTAGATGCAAGGCATTATGATCTATTGCAGCCACTGTTTTTCCTCTCGTGTGCAATAATGAATAGGATTTCCAACAGGATTACAAGGGTAGAATATTTCAATGAACACGTTAATGCATGAGGGCCAAAAGGAGGGATCAACAGCAGCAAACCAAGACATGACAGGCCTGTGGCAGAGAGCTCATTGGACAGGAGTGGATCCAATTATCGCCGACTAAATCAGACCAGCAGACTACTGGATTATCTGCTCTAGAAGAGGAGGAGGAGGAGGAGGACACCAGGACAGCTAAGCCCTCTTCCTCCTTCTCCAAGATTCTTCTGACACGTCCTCCTCTTCCTTTGTTCTGTCAGTTCATAGAACAATAAAGAGGATACTATCAAGTGTAAAACAAACCCATTCATTGTTAGCGTTGCCCATGCTGCAACTTCTTCTGCAGTTTTTGATTTCCTTTTTCTTCTAACCCTCATCAGCTGGTTTCAAGATCTTTAGTCACAAGCCCTTCACTTGGCTTGCCCCCAGGCTGTTGCCACTCCTCGTTACTGATAATTAAAGCTCCATTCACACTGTGGTCGACAGTGTCCTCTTTCTAATCTGTTTCTCACTAGTGACACTGATCTGATTATCTACGGTCTCTGTCAACAGTGAAAAAGGGTGCTGCAGGGAGCCCTTCAGTTTTCACCAGGAATACATAGATATCATGTGTGTTACAAAATGCAACATGTGTTTAACTAATGAGCTCAGACTGGGCACAGCACTGCTTTGATAACAAGTGCATTTGATGTCATTCACTTGAGACACCACTCAGCATTTTGGCACCAGTGCCAGGATGACTCAGCAGGTTTGGCAAAAACACAACAAGGCACAGCAAAGAAATCAAAATGCTGTTATGTGTCTTGAATTGAAGTGTTCAACTCAAAACTAGCAGGGAAGATGTAATGTCTTAATATAAAGAAAGTGCAGTTCACACTTTTAGCAGTTAAGGTTTACAGCTCTAAGTGTAACTGGAATATATCATAAGGTTATAATTGTGTATTTACAATCGGACTTGCAGATGCTTTTTTGAAATGTGACTAAATGTATAATCTATTTTTGGGAATATCTGTGTGTCTATTTTTAATGCCCATGAATTTGTCTGTCTATAAACTGTATATGTTTATTTTTGTACAAAGGTCTTTCTCTAAAAAGAGATCCCAATCTCAATTAGACTACCTGTTTAAAAAAGGATTTAATAATAATAATAATAATGATAATATAGCTTCTCCTTCTTTCTTGATTAACTTTTTTATTTTAAGTTAGTAAATTGAAACGAATAAATCCGATCCGCTCTACTTAGGAGCGTCATGTTTAATTGCCATTGTTGCCCATGTGGACAGGGTGATAATGACATCCTGCTGACGTGATCATATTGTCTTATTTTTACACAATTCTGCTGTTCAATTAATAATTCCAAGCAAATTGTATTTATTAATTATTATTAAAGGTTTTGTTTTACAGATTTGAAGAGTTTTGTCTGATGTAATGCACAACTGTGGAACATAAGTTGATCATTTAAATGTAATGTTCATATTCATTTGTCTTATTAATAAGAAAAAAAAAAGATTTGGATCAATCGCATGACATCCAGAAATCAACAACAAAGACCTCTGTAAGACCGAGCAACACCACTGAGAATTGGGGAGATCATGAGGGGAAAGCTGAACGCTAAAACAAGCCTCTCTTTTAATTAAGTGATGTGCTAATGAGTGCTGGGTAGCTGACAAAATCTTCGCCCGTGCTCGCTCATGGGGAGTGAGCGAGTCAGCAAACACATACACAGAGAGCCTGCACCCGGCGGCAGAGGAGTGGCTATATTTAAAAACTTGTTAACCTCTGGCTGATGACACAGCTCCTGAGGGATAGTCATCCGCAGAACACCTGAGTGGTACATAACATGCGTATGTGTGAGACAGAGTGAGCAGAGTACAGTATTATGTCAGCCACAAATTTAAGAAGTAGAGGTTACTTTCTCCATTTCAGTTACTATTGAATCTATGAAGTTAGTAACGTTTATGTAAGATGATTTAAAGTCATCTAATTTATCTTAAAGCAATGCAAGTAAGATTAATGGGGATTTTTATAATAAATAAGAATCACTCTTCACTCCTAAGCAACAAAGACAGACAATATATTAAAAGCCTTCTTTTAGTCAAGCATATTGGTAAAGTGCCAACAAGCTATTGCCAACAGGGTCTTCCTCAGGCCAAATAAACAATTAAATCATTTAGCCCATTATGTCTGAAAACTCTGAAATATGCCTATAACAATTCCACTGGGCCCAAATTTGCCTTTTTGTTCAACAGTCTGAAACACTAAACCAATGCAAAATTATAAAAGCATAAAAAGCTTGCAAAGCAAATAAAGTTTACTATACAACAGAAGCAGCTTATCCTCACTGTCGAGAAGATGAAACCAAGAGATGTTTTGTATTTCTGCTTCATAAATGACTTAAATGATTAATTATACGTAAAATGCTGCAGATTAATTTTCTGTTATTTGCAAACTGAATCATTTCAGCAGCAAACACCTTATAAGAAAATGTTTTTCATAAGACTTACTGAGCTCAATATTCCAATATCAAATCTATTTCCAACTCATATCCAAGGGCATGAGGTCGGCTACTTCTATCTGAGCTCTATAGCTGGAGGAAGGCTGAAAGAAAGAACACAACGTGATTGATTTTTTTTTTTTTTTTTTTCCCACCAGCAGCCACAGTTGGACGGCTGTTGGTAATTGGAGGTGCACTTCAGACGGATGATCATATCCCAATGATTACTAAGTGAAAGCGAGCTAGACAGCATGCAAGGATGAAAGCATCCACTGCATGACAATTAGAAAAGCAGAACATGGCTGAAGGCTTTAAAGACAGACCGAAAAGCTAACCTACTTACCTGTTTATCTTTCTGAGAAATAAAAAATTCATGTCAGTCAGTCAATGATAGAGCAACAGAGCAGGGTTTAAAAGATGAATTCAACATTTAGAACGAGCACTGATATCCGTGAAGGGGAAAGATGGTGAACAACAGGTGAACTTTGGAAGGCTGTTGTTGAGGAGGCAGCAGGAAGGGGAGGGAAAATCTGATTAGCCTATTAGAGAGGGGAAGGTACGGATGATGGGTGGCAAACTGATTGAGAGAGTTGGGACGTGGAGCTGAAGTGACAGTTGTCAGACACAGAACAGGAGAGCGGTAGCGATCAAAAGTGATGTTGCATGAATGGGAGGTGGAAACGCACAAATGGGTAAAGGTGACGGGTAGAGTTATGTTTTTAAAGAAAGATTAGGGGCATGGCAAGGTGTAAGACATAACTGAAGGGAGTTTTGAAGAAGCAGTACAAGAGGGGGTATGGGGGAGGTAAAAGCTAAAGCAGACCTGCTTCCTCATCCTCATCCTCCTCCTCATCATCATCATCAGAGCTGGATGACGAGGGAGCTGTTGCTGGGCCTGAGGTGGCGGCAGAGGCAGAGCTAGCTCCACTATTAGCAACATATCCATACTGCATGCCTGTTGGAAGGGGGGAGTCGGAGAGGTACATAAGAAAACTGTCAAGACTGGGTGATCGACAGAAGACAGGACGGCGGTGATCATGCAGTACACTTCATTCCAATTGATTTGTGTAAATGTTGTGTGTCTAAGTGTGTGTGGTGTGTTGAACTTGATCACTGATCAAAGTAGCTGGCGCGTTGCCCATTTTCTCAGACAGACCACACAGAGGACAGCACTGATAATCTTTGTTGTCTGTGCGTAACACTTACAAACCCCAAAATTTAAACAGGCCAAGATGTTTTGATATTTTTTGGCAATGAAAGAAGAATTAGTTTCACAATCAGGAATGTTGCTTAGGCGTGTTTTCACATTAACTCTGTATCAAAGCCTACACGTAAAACCAGTAAAATTTTAGGAGGCCAAGTGAGAAGCCGGTACAAAAATGTCCAACGGAGACAAACTAACAACTTAAGGCTTACATGTGCACACAGTTAGGTCTCGCGTGTTCATCAGATATTTCTAGATGTGTCAATGATTGGAGCACTTGCAGATTTGTCATTTCCTGTGGGACTTTATTTCCCTCAGTGCTGTTTTCACAGGCAGAGGTTACTCCCAGCCTGTGGATTACTCAACGAGCTCCACCAAATTTTTTGTTCCCTAACATCTTGCAACTTCACAAATATTACTCTAATGTTTCACAGTGTAACAAAAATGCTGCAAATGACATCACAATAATTTGCCACAATAATTATAAATGCTGCATTCAGTGTTACCAACCCAGATAAGAATAATTTAATCACTTTATTTCACACTAATTCACCACTTGAAATAATTGTGAAAACCAAGCAGGCCTTTTAATACATGCCTATTATTTAGGTGTGTCCTTTGTTTGTGCTGCTGTTCTCTTGCTATTGTATTACATGTTTTCTGTAGTCTGAGGCTATCATCACTGGGACAGAGGAAAGTGATTTAGACACATTTTACTGGCAACACAGAGTGAAACATCTGCAAAAACGTTGGGGTTCTTGGCCTAGTTACGTTTCGGTTTCTCCCTACATGGAGAGACTATGCAAAGCTTCGATAGGCTATTTGCTTTGCAACCCAAATAATGATTAAATGCAAGTGAAGCTGGTGCAAGAGTCCTTTGGTCTGAACCTGCTCAAGAAGGTAACAGTGAAAAAATTCACCAGTCAGAACCAAAGTAAACCAGCAGCTTACTGGTAGGAGGTGAGTTCCAACCTGAAACCCTTAAATTTGTATAAAGGCTCACACCTGCACATTTGAAAGTGTGTATGAGTATATGTGTGTGTGTGTGTGTGTGTGTGTGTGTGTGTGTGTGTTTTTGTGTTTGTAAGAGACATTTCCAAAGTGCAGCTGTGGTTATGTAAACCATACAAACACGCATCTGCACTGTAGACTTCAAGCAGGATTTCAAACATTCAACCTGTACATTGGCTCAGTGAAGAATTTACACTAGACAAAAAACCAGACCACTGGGCACAGAAAAACCAAAAGCTGTCATTTCACTCTATAATGAACTTATGTTCAAACACCAAAGTAAAGCAGGTCAGAACAAAAGTTTTCACTTCATGACATTTTTCAAGTATGTAGATCAATTAAAAGGAAATCTTCTCAAACTAATGCACTAGTGTGGAGTTCCTTCCCCAGGTTATGAAACCAAAAACAGGAAACTGACATACGTATGTATTAATGTTGACGTTTCAACATAAAAAGGGTTTTCTGTGCCAACCTTTAACAAAAATCACAAAAGAGAACTTTAAACTATCTTATACCTGGTAGGTAATTGCATAATAGCAGTTTGTCAACTTCCATCTTTATACATACAGAAACATAAATACAAAAAGCATATCACTAATATTCCATATCTAAAACACTCCACACTTTCTAAGCTGTTGTTCATCAGTACAAACAGTCTGAAAGAAGAGCAGTACTGATGCTGAGGCACATTTCTTAAGTTACTCCCTTGTGAAGCCCTGGAAAACCTACTGAAATGTTTTCTATTAGAAACTTAAAAAAACAAACATCTGAATCTAACAACTACCTTGGTGGCGGCCCGGCGAGGAATGAACTGAAGTGGAGGGGGTTCCTGAGGGCAGCCGTTCTCCATCTGGACCACCAGTGCTATGAGTGAGCCTGCCGTAGGAGTCATAGCTCTGAGGTGCCTTGTGGCTTTGGTGATAGTGTTGGTGGACTGTGGTCTGAGCTGCAGCAAAAATAGGGAATAATACAGGAACATAAAAAAAGGTAGGAAGTTTCCAACAGGAGAATGGTGTTTCTCTAACTAAACATCTAAAAACTACAAATAGAATTTAAAAGGATTAAATATCTGTCAATCAAATGTCCATTAAAAATGACAGGCTGCTTCTCTTCTCAACTCTACAACTAACTTTCTAGGAATTCTGAATGTTTACTTTTAGATTCACAAATATCTGATCCATCCATATAGTGTCAAGGAAAAATGTCTCACTTTCCAGCAAGCAGCTGATCAGCCTCAGCACAACACAAACAGTCACACATACCTGTACTTCCTTGACCATTGACCGCTGGCACCATCTGACTGGGAGGACCCCCGCCATACCCGGGCTGCACTGGTGTCGTGGAGGCTGGCTGAGAGGTGCTGTACTGGTGAAGGGGTGCACCCATCTGGATGGGCATGACTCCAGGCGTGGAGGTGCTCTGCGAGGAACTCAGGGTGCCATACTGGCTACTTCCTGGCGCTGATGGGTATGAAACAATGGGGTAGAGGGGAGCTCCAGGACCGCTGGCTGGCGCAGGAACCAAACTGGGATGCTGCTGCTGTGCTGGGGGAGCATGGTACGACTGCTGTCCATAATAGGATCCTGGAGTGGCATAGGGTGGATGCTGCTGTTGCTGCTGCTGGAATGGCTGTTGTTGGTTGTACTGGGTGTTTGGCGGTGGAGGTGCTGAAGAAGGGAGGGTGGCGTATGGCTGAGAAGGAGGGGCAGAGCTCGGGGGAGCACTGTATAGAGAGGGTGCTACATGATGCTGAGGGAGGTGGTGGTGCTGCTGCTGCTGCTGATGGTTGTTCTGGTAGTAGTTAGCACTGTGGGCACTGTTCGTAATGGGCGCTTTGTTTGGAACAGGAGTGGAGTGGGCAGGGATGGTGGGGTAGCTCTGTTGTTGAGGTGGGGCTCCATAGTAGCCTGTAGGTGGATACATGGATGGGTATGTCTGTGCTGGACCTGGGAAGAGGGAGGAAGCAGTTAAATACAAGTTCAATAAGCTCAGTGTCAAATATTTCTGTCCTACTTCCTCCCATCTTAGTCAAGCCAGTAGGACAAAGCTCATAAATAAAATACTGAACGAAGATTATCATTAACTACAAGCAACAAGCTTCATCAGCAGCTGTTACCTCAGCAGTGGGGGTTAAAACCAGTTAGCTCTCTACTGAATATGCATCCCTTACAGCAACAACAGTCATAAATAAAACCCGATTATTTCAGTGTAAAATAAATTGGGAGGTGGTATAGTAGAGCTTCAGTATAAAATGAACGCTATGAAATGATGGTGCGCAATCTGTCACACAGCTATTATCATGCTAACACTTTGCGTTCGCTTGGTAGCTAACGTTAGCAGCTATCTCTCTGAGGTTTCAGTCTCTAGGTCAGCTCTTAAGTTAGCTAGCGTTAGCAACTGATTAGCTTTGGGTGAAAGACTTTTTTGGCGATTTTACACGTCGACCTAATTTATACATAATGTCACTGTTATAATTAATACCAGAGGGCAGTTGTTTAAAAAATTAAAAACTCAGCGCAGCGGCAAATTATCTGGCATCACAGAGCGTTAGCATGCTAACACTAGCGGTCTGGCTAATCGCATCACCCGGCCTGTGTTACCATTCTGATAGGGGGGCGCAGCTCCACCGTTCGGTGTTGAGTTCTGGTTGTAGCTGACGGAGCTGCTCAGGTTAGTGGAATCCGGCGCAGACATCTCTCTGTCCTCCCGTCCTTATTCCCACTGATACACGGGTGAGTAAATACACATTAGCGTCACTGTCCCAAAGCCTGGTCCACCCCCTCAGAAATGCAGTATATTGGCTGCTGCTGGTCAGTGAGGACCCGGGCAGCCTGGCCAGGTTCGCTCGGCTGAGAGATGAAGCTTCCAGTCTGGAGGTTGAGAGGAGCTTTACTGACTCCTGTGGCTGTGGTCCTATCGCTCCCCCCTGTGGATTTCTACTGCAATTATTCGCTGCTTGGACCCCGGTACGAAATTCAGTTCGCCCGAACTAAGGTCGATCATTACTCTGTCCAGTCAAAAAGTTTGGTAATGACTGATTAAGATCGGCGCGACTTATTACAAAAATATAAATTTGTAATAATTCCACCCCAGATGGCCTAAGTCCTGCTTCATCTAAAATTCAATTGCAATTCATACAGTATTGAAATGATCTCGAACTGCTTACTTACCCAATAATTTGCCCTTATTATTTATAACACACGTCTATTTGACAATTTGTATATTATGCATATTACATATAGCTATTCCTTACAACTACTATGAAATGACGTGTGCATGTCGTAGTGCAGGGGAATAGTAGAACTAACTTTCCCGGGGCCAACATGCTGTGGGGCCTCAAGAAGCCCAGGATTGGACGTTTGTTTGTTTTTTGCTACAATTTTGTTAATAATATTGTAAGTATACTATTGTTGGCTGAATAACCAATTTGACAGATTATGTTTGAGAAAATGATGACAACACATGGTCCATGTTCTGTAGTTGCTGTTCTGAGATTTTCATCCAGAACATGAACTAACCCTAACCCTTCAACAGATATTATTTGCCCAGTTGTCAAGAAATTGCAGATATTCAAATTTCCATTTTTAATAAGTGTGTACCTCAGTGTTCAAAGCATGATTATAAGTCTTTCAAGTGATCAGAAAAAAAAATTAAATTTGTGCAATTGTGCAAACTTCCTTATTGGCTTGTATTATTGATGGATCACATTAATATTATATTAATATAATTTTACAAGGGTCAAGAATAGTGTCAAACATACAGTATCAACCCAAATCTGCAGTTCTCAGCTCACTGCTCTGGTATGACAGCCTGCAACTTTACTTTTTACTGTCACTGCTCTTTCCGGGCAAAAAGGCTTCGATAAACCAGTATGTCATATAAACAGCACCAAATGGTTGACAGAGAAAAAGTAAGCGTCAGCTGGTAAACATAATGCAGCATTTGGAAGCAAGAGTCAGATATTGTTCTCAGGAGTTGGTGGTGCAGTCCAAAATAGAGCTAAAAGGACAGTGAATATTGGACTTACATTCATCAGGCTTTCACAACAACAAATTCAAAACTACACCAGCGTTCTTCCATTACTGCTTATTAACAAGTGTTAAAGTGCAAACTTTATAACTTGTTAGATATGCCATTGTTTTGATTACAGCCTGTATCGCTGCCCCCTAGTGACCAAAAAGGAGCCATTCTCCTGTTTAATGTAGCTCATCTGATCAGACAGAGCATCCTGTTGTGAAAATGACAGTGAAATTCCTCATGTCATGAAAACCCCAAAGTCCAGACAGTTTCTGTGTATCCCTAATGGTGTGTGCTTTACCCTGATTTGATGGTATTTTTAGTTGTAAGACATCAGAGTTATAACAGGGGCTATAAATGAATCAAACACTTATGTACAGTTACTCATAAACTATTTAGATTTAAGTCTTCAAGCTTCGTAAAATAAACGTTTTCTTTTTAAACTGTATTTAAGAATTCGCAACTGGTGATATACCATTGCTTTGAATGGTGTAACCGATGCCTAACCTCCCCCTCCATTTAAGTGCCACTAAAGTGTCACTAAAAGAATTTTATTAGGGTTCAGTGCAGAGTGTTAGTGCCTCAAACTGTGAATGATCCTTGAAGCCTGAAAGAACTCACTTTATGTGGGGAATAGATGTAATTTGTTGCCATGTAAATATCAAACGAAACAGACTGAGACTTAATGGATAAACCATTTTAGACAAATAAAAAAAACAATTAACATATGAAATTGCCAAAGCACTGATTTTAAAAGACAAAATCCCATTTTACACAAACAAGTACCCCCCCCCCCCCACACACACACACACACACACACACACAGTCATACACATATAAAATATGAAGTTCAAATCCACTGGAACTGAGCTTTCATTAATGACAAGGCATTCCAGTTTCACAAAATGTATGTAATAAAACTCGTGGACTCTGCAGATGTATTCTAACATTTCCCTCAGTAACAGATGATTTAACAGGTTTATCATCTAATATCAGATTCATGGATGGCTCTGTCCACAGAATTAAACCATTTAAATCTGATTGAATTTGCAACATTCATGATTTAAAAATATGCTGGTTGCACAGTCTGATTAATATCCCTGGACGTGCAGCGTTTTTCATGTGGCTGCGAACACTGATGTTCGATCGCTACACATCCTGAGGGATTCTGGGACGTCCACCGGTGCACTCACACTCCTCTTTGTGACGCGGAGCGCCGGAGGACGCCTCGTTCTGAGCCCTTCCTTTGGTTTGGCAGGTGGGGCAGCAGGCGGTGTGTCCATCCCGTCTGCAACCGTGACATGACAGAACCAGCTGGCAGCAGAACTGGGTGGAACAGAGCTTGTACTGGTCCCACGGACAGCCGCAGTACCTGCAGTCTGAACGGAGACACAGAATTATTCCGGTCTGAAAGGTTCTTTTAACACAAAGACTGACACAAGACAATGAGGAAATGTTGAGGGGATTTTTAACACAGAGAGAAAACACTAACCTGAGATTATGTCACTATTGGAGGAGATGGTGTAGCGCTCGTCGAAGACAAAAAGTTTTCCTCGATAGAAACCCTCAGGGAAACGCTCCAGGTATTTGTGAATTCCACCTTTCAGCTGGTAAACCTCTTTACACACATCCTACAAATAGAGAAGGACACGTAGGGGCTCAAAGTAAATAAAATATACCTTCTGTTGAGACGCAGCATAAGTAACAAGTGAAACAAGGACACACAGACACTGACTAAACAGTTCCTCCTTGTGGAGAATCAGTAGCCTGCAAAATGTGAGTTACAAGCCACTTTTATAACGTACTTAACATCTAAAAAAAAAAAAAAATCTAAATTTCTTCCTGTAGTTTAAAACCCAGACATGTCGACTTACTTTTGAGCGGAGGTATGCAGAGCCGCGCTCACAGCGGATCCCTCCTGTGCAGTACATGAGGACTTTCTTGTCTCTAAACAGTTCCAGGTTCTGGTCGACGTAGTCGGGGAAGTAGCTGAACTTACGGATGTTCGGGGCCAGACACTGAGTAAACTGCCCCTGGAGGGACAAAATAATCACAAACATTGCAACATAACTTTTGTCCTCTTTAATAACGATAAGATCAAAGTCAGTAAAAAAAAAACATCATGGAAGCGAGTAAGAATTCAGCATATTGGTCAAGGAAATTTAAATGAACATTTTACCAAAACAAACTTTAATTTTCTGCTTAATGCAAAGTTGCAGGGTCAAGCATTCTCACTGCAACAAGTTAAACATAGTATTTGCTGAAGGCACCTGGTGTAGATGTAATTTTGCTAAATCTGATACATTACTTACAATTTTGCTCTCGTAAAAGTTACGGCAGTCTAGCAGGATGGTGTCGCTGCACAGATCCCCATTAGCCAGAAGAGCCTCCACTTCTTTGTGAAACTCCTCTGGCTCCAGATGAATTCCTGAGAGGTAAAAGATTTTAACTAACATGACCACCTTCACAAACCAGCTGTGAAAAAACAGACATTCAGCACATTTGACACAAAGATATTACATTTTCCCTGGAGCAATCACGGTGGATCTTTTTTTTTTTTTTTATTATTACTATCAATATCAATTTTGTAGTATTACCAAAATAATATCGCACCTGCTGATTGGTAGGAGATGACATCAGGATCCACTCCCATGGGGACAATTTCTTTATAGACTCCAACCCTTAGGTCTGTGAAACACTCTGCACCACCATCACTTGTCTGCACACACAGGGACAAGCATTTTCATTTATATGCAATTTTCTGTTTTCATAATAAAAAAAGGACTTTTCAATATAAATACTTAATGCTATGCTTAAACCTCAGGCTGTAGCCGCCCAGTACATCACAAAACAGGGTTCAAATTGAGGCAGGATGTTGTGTAGAGACACCAACATTACACAGAAGCATATCCACAGTCCATCATCTATTGTGAATTTTTAATTTTTTTTTATCCGAGTCTGACCTTAAAATCCTCCCTATCCATCTTGAATAAAGGATGTGAGCGCATTGCGTTGATGTAAATGTCAGTGGCCATGTTGGTGCCACCGACTGTTCCGTTGATGCCTTCAGTCGCCACCCTCACCTGGAGAAGATGAGCATGAAGTTTTTTCACAATTAGAGACACGTTTCAAAATTTCTATCTATTCCCCCAGTTAAACATTCTGTATAGTCTCCCATTTGGAAGCAGGATAAGACAAATTATTCACCTTGCCAGTTAAGTGGAGCTTTTCACACAAAGCTCTCTGCCAAGCACAGATGACATGTGGATCCTCCACTTGACAGTAGTGATAATAAAGGATCACCTTTCCTGGACCCCTGATGGAAAATAAGAGAATATCAGTACTCCTTAACAAAACTCAGATACTAAAACTGAGCTCAATATTGTATAATTCACATAAATTACTGCAACTAAGATGGATTTTCACTTTAAAACGGTACAAAGATTCTGACAGCATGACAACTGAAGCATGATGGGAGAATCAAAAGTCGACCAGTACTTCAGAAGTTGCTCCTCAGGGATGTGGCTGGTGTCGGGTATCCACGCAGAAATGTCCACCGCCTCGGCTTTGTGCTCGTTCGGCTGCTGTGCTTCAGGTTCTTCCTCCAGCTGGCTTAGCAGACATTCATATGTGGCCTGTGTGAGCTGCTTTATTTCAGTATCGTGAGTCCTGGCCACATGCTTGTGAATGGCAGGATGTTCCTTGAAGGTCTGACCGCAGCAGCACCAAGATGTGTTCCCCTCCTCCCGACTGTCGTCCCTCTTGGATGCCACAAAGGCAGCAAATGACTGTGGAGGAGAAAAAACGTGAAGCATTTTTTAAGGTGGAAGTCAGATCCTTTTATAAAATTAAAAACTTAATTATCAAATTTGGTTTTTAGAGAACATTGCACAGATAAGATATAGTTTGTTCCTAAACTTGGTTTGTGATTCAATGAAAATTAGAATTAAGGCTTTGCGGTTGTATGCCTTGAGTTATGGCCAAAACGTTTTTTGTGAGTTCACAGAGACCAGAGACCGCCAAAATCTAATCAGTTCATCCTTGAGTCCAAGTGAACGTTTGACCACAAGATTCATGTCCTGAACTCTTAAAATGTCCCAACCACCAGGTAGGAACCACTGAGCTTAGATATTAACTGTAGGCAACAAAATAGGTTTTGTAATATAGCCCCATTAATACTGATATTTTTAAGGCTGATACCAACACTGATATCAGAGTTTTAAAGAAGACATTTAGATATTTTCTTTTACATAATCTATTATTATTTTTGATAAAGATCCTTTAAATTCTATTTTTAAGGAATTGCAACTATATATACAATAAGTTATCATCCAATATATAAGCTCAACTGATTTATTAGTCCACCTCAATGTAACTCTATACATCTGTATATGTTCTGTATCAATTTTCCTAAAGTTTTTATTTTTATATTTTAGGGACTTAAGCTATGTGTTATTCTGACAGAAACCCGTGTTGAAAGAATACTCAGATCTTTTAGCGAAGTAAAAGCAGTAATACCACAGTGTAGAAATACTCTGTTACAAGTAAAAGTCCAGCATTCAAAGTTATACTGAACGAGAAGTATATAATCACTTTATATACCACTGGGTGGTTTGTGAATTTCTCCCCATTAACCTTATACATACATATAATCCATAATCATGTATTTATTGATTATATTTTCTATTATTGAATCTGAATTGATTACTCTTATTGTAGTGCAGTAGTAGCAGAAAATGTAAATATTCAAGTCAATACAGTTGTACTTACAGAAACTGATATATTTTAGATGATAGTTGAATTACAGTTTGTTTGATTTGAGCTATTATTATCTCATGTATATGAATTTGGCACCAGGTTTTGATTTATTCCTCAGTACTGTACCTGTAAACTCACTGACAGACAAACGTGCTCAGCTGTGGTCAGTAGTCTGTTACATGCTGTACAAAAGTTAGAAATCAGAAGTGTAAATTATTATTCAGTGTTTCTGTTGTCTCTCACCTTCCTCCTGCAGAAGCTGTAGTATCTTCTCTGTGAGGCAGAAAGTTGCTTCTCCTGTTTTAATCCATTGGTTGTAGAAGAGTCAAGTTCCCAGTCCAAGAACTCTGGGCAAGGTGTATGAGCCGCTGCCGCCATGAAGTTTGACGGCTTTTCAAATATTATCACTTTAGTAAACAGCTAGTAAACTGTCTTTGGCTAAGTTGCAAGGTTTGTTAAAATTTAAATGGCTCTAGCTCTGCTTTGTGGTATGAACGCAAAGGACTAATTCCAAATCAAATCACTGGCATTCTGGTTATTAAATATTAGCCTCATCTTGGCAAATATGAAATATGAAGCCCTGATAGAGATGAAACCTAAATTTTACAGACACACGAATCACCAAACGTGCAGCATCAAACTCGGCATCGGATGAAAACAGACGTTGCACTTTCCGGTTGACCCCGGATGTGCCTCACTTGAATCAGACCGCTTTTATTTTTCTGCTCTGGTAGCGGCCAGGCTGAACGATCCAGAAGCTTGTTTAACCGACTTATTCTTTTGTTTCATATTCATTTTTTTCTCGACATATTACCTTGCATTCACGTCGAATAGTAGAGAAACATGTCCAGGAGACGACAAAGCGACGAGAATGACGGTAAGTGAACGTTACATATGTAATTCAAACGTTGGGCTAACGAGTGGTGGCTAGCTAACGTTAGCGTGTTAATCTTTGGCTTGGTGCATTCACGCATGATTATTGCTTAACTATTTTACGAGGCCAAGTTTTGGGTTTTGTTGTCGTCATCCAAAAATGTGATCAACAGTAAATATCCATTAATGTTTATTTTAATTAACGTGGTTTAAAACGAGAAGCAAACTGTCCTTTCAGCGGCAGAGTTAACCGGTACGTTCACCGTTAGCTGATGTTAACGTGTGTAGTTACCATGGGGGCGGTAACCAGCTACTGAGAATCATGAAAACATCTTTTTTCATTTATATCTTTTATACTTGTGGAAAGAACCCTATATAATTCAATGTGATATTAAAATGATCGATGAAAGCCTGAAGTCTCTTAATTTGGTGAACCTGCAGGAACTCTGTTAGTCGTAACGTTCAGGCCATTTTAAAGATGCTACTTTCCAGCTCAGGATCAGACACAATGTCAGTGTCCCAGTATTTGAACTGCTGTCATAGAGTCTCATGGATTGTTTCACTCAAGGGTGCAGCTAACAATTATTTTCATTATCAATCAATCTGGCCATTATTTTCTTCTTGTCTGTAAAATGTCAAACTTCTCTCCTGATCTAAAACATTATGGTCCCAATTACAGGTTCAGGAGTATGAGAAAGACAGCAAAAGCAAATGTTGATGACATCTGTGATCACAGTTGTGTTCTATAGAACATCCCAGAACAATTCTACTTATAACCACATACTTATTTCCTACAGTCTTGAAATGTCAAGTTTTATCCACCAGTAGTACATGATCCAAATCTCATGAGTTTAAATTCATATAAGATAAATATTAAATCCTTATATTTGAGAAACTGCAACCATCAATTATTTAGCATTTAGCACAAAAATAGTTGCTATTAATTGACTAGTCAACTCCAGTTTCACTGTTCACTGTCTATGGAGCTTCCTAGGGATATGTATCAAAATTGTATTATTATGCTGACTTTCTCTACAATGTAATTTAAAGGACTACTCCAGCAGTTAAGTATTGCTTTCTCTGTTGGTGGGCAGACCATGGAAAAGAAATGGTAAAAATTGAACCAGCAGAGGTTAAAATATCCTGACATTTATTCCCAGGCATGGTTCAAGATATATTAAGAACAATTCCCACAGTGCAACTCACTAGCATTTCTAGAAGCCGTCTTTCACAGAGCCCAGGCTGAGATGACTCAGATGACATAGTTTTTCTGTCCATGGAAAGTTCCTTGAGAGCAACAGGAAACATTTCAACTATTACTGCAGGCTGATTAGCTCTCCCTGTGACGGGTAAACCAGTGTTCATATGTAAAATGCCTCTTTAAGGACAAACCACAGTTTAAAATGTAGCTTGTGTTTAAGCTGTACAGTCTTTTACAAATTGTATGTGCATGTATTTTTCTATTTCAGGGTGGATTTTCCCATCAAGGCTGCCCTTGAGTTAAAGCTCTTAGCTAATGTTTTTCCTTCCACTCACTCTATTGTGTCTCTCCTTTAACCTTCCAGGAGGTCAGCCCCATAAAAGGAGGAGAACATCGGAGCCAATTGAGATTGAAGACCGTCTTGAGTCACTGATATGTCGTGTGGGGGAGAAGGTAAGGAGTCAGCACAGGTACTTGTTGTTTCATAGTAGTAGGAGTAGAGTTTTATGTTTTCAGTATGGGTGGCTTCACTGGAGATCGAACCCTTAGCTCTGGAGAGATTGGGCCTTACATCACTGGTGCAATGCTTTACTTCTAAAGACAAACACCAGAGCATTTGGTGATACTTGCTGCAATGAAGAATACTGTGTTTGAGCAAAAACAAATGAAAAATGCAGGGCTGATTTAACAGTAAAGTGCTTTTTGTTGAATTGCTTAGTTTGATTAATATTGCAAATGCTAAATTGCTTCATATGTCTTCACAGAGTACATCGTCCCTGGAGAGCAACCTGGAGGGCCTCGCAGGTGTCTTAGAGGCAGATCTTCCAAACTACAAAAACAAAATCCTGCGCATTTTATGTGCTGTGTAAGTTCATACTAATACCCTTTCATTGGTAAAAAGGGTCTTTTAGTTGGTTGTTCTCACTGAATCGCCTTTTGTTGACAGCGCTCGCCTCCTACCTGAGAAGCTGACAGTGTATACCACTTTAGTTGGCCTCCTCAATGCCAGGAACTACAACTTCGGGGGCGAGTTTGTTGAGGCCATGATCAGGCAACTGAAGGAGACGTTGAAAAACAACTTGTACAATGAAGCCGTTTACTTGGTGAGCTAATTTTCTAGAAGCACCTGACATACGGCTTTTAAAAGCATCGGCATATTACTATGTATTTATATTTTTAAACATATTGTCTTCTTTTTGCAGGTGCGTTTTCTGTCTGACTTGGTCAACTGCCATGTGATTGCTGCTCCCTCTATGGTGGCCATGTTTGAAAATTTTGTCAGTGTTACTCAAGAAGAAGATGTACCACAGGTAAGTAGAAGGTTGAGGTGTCATTAATGTATTTGAAAAGAGGTCAGGGCAGCAGGAAAGGTTAGAGATGAACTGTTGGTGGATTAAAAAAGTAAAATGGAGGAAAATAATATAAATCCAATCTGAAAAGAGACAAAATAAAATAATACTGAAATGTTTCAAAGCCACTTTTATCATACAAACCTAAAGATTAATGGTTATATCATTTAATTTGAGCTCTTTGCAAAAGGTATTAATGCAAGGTGGTATTTGAGTTTCAACTGTTAAGTATGCAGTGTTGTAAGAGATGTTTGTCTGTGTCCTCAGGTTCGGTCAGACTGGTTTGTGTATGTGGTTCTGTCCTGTCTGCCCTGGGTCGGTAAGGAGCTTTATGAGAAGAAGGATGTTGAGATGGACCGACTCCTCAGCCAGGTCGAAGGCTACCTCAAGTACGACATCTGCCTTTTTTCCTTTTTGTTTTTGGATTTCTCACTCTTGCTCTCAGTCTAATTTTGCTTTTTCTAAGCTTGTCATTTTTATTTCTTGCTCATGATTAACTCTGTGCTTTGATCACACCTATCAGCTGACTCTTGCATCATTTTCAGGAGGAGAGTGAAGACTCATGTCCCAATGCTGCAGGTGTGGACAGCAGAGACACCTCATCCCCAAGAGGAGGTGAGTGTCACACAGCAGTTCTACAGCTGCTGTGTTGTTTTACTGAATTATACAGTATTTCACTTTCCAGTTACATGGTTGAAGTTTAGGACCAGCAGTTTTCATTGCCTTTAATAGTGATGTTTTTTCGTTTTCCTCCTTCCAGTACCTGGACTGCCTCTGGGCTCAGATTCAAAAGCTAAAGAAAGACCGCTGGCAGGAGCGTCACATCCTTCGTCCATACATCGCCTTCGACAGCGTGCTGTGTGAGGCTCTGCAGCACAACCTGCCGCCCTTCACCCCACCGGGCCACATGCCCGACGCCCAGTACCCGATGCCCCGCGTCGTCTTCCGCATGTTCGACTACACCGATGCCCCCGAGGTACACACGGTTTTGCCTTTGATAAAACACTTGTCAGCATGTTACTAATTTGTTTTTGTTAATTAAAACGTTGCAGGCAGCTTCTAAAACATTCAAAAATGATTATCTCCAAATGAATTACCAGGAGGTTGTGTGAGTTGAGAATATAAACTTAATGTGTTTTGATTTCACTGTAGACAATGAGAAGAATGTATAAGGTTGTAAAAAGAAAAATACAGTCGTTATGCATCGTTGAAGACATTTTGAGCACAAATTCATACTGAAAAGTCAAAAACAGAATTGCAAATACACAATGTCACACCTGTATCTGTGATATTCCGTATAAACAAAGCACGACTGAATATGGACGAGTTGTAAACAAGTAGGTATCTGGTATCTTTAATGTTCACAGTTTATAAATTTCTCTGCTCTTTATTCTCAGGGTCCCGTTATGCCTGGCAGTCATTCTGTGGAGAGATTTGTCATTGAAGAAAACCTGCACTGTATCATCAAGACTCACTGGAAAGAGAGGAAAACATGGTGGGTGACGAACTTGATCTTGTTTCATTTTTGTCAAGTCTGAATGTTGAACGTTGAACTCCGACTCACACGTTTTAACGTTTCTGATTGTTCTTTATTACGCCTCAGTGCTGCCCAGTTACTCAGTTATCCAGGGAAAAATAAGATTCCGCTCAACTATCACATCGTGGAGGTAAACAGTGTTTTACACAAGCTACATGCTGAGAAATGAGAGGAAAAAAATAAAGGCTGGTCTGAAATATTTATGTTTTTTTTTTTTAAGGTGATCTTTGGCGAGCTTTTCCAGCTGCCCGCTCCGCCTCACATCGACGTCATGTACACCACACTGCTTATTGAACTCTGCAAACTGCAGCCGGGGTCACTGCCACAAGTTGTATCCTTGATGGTCTGTGTCACTACAGTTTATGTCAGGGGTGTCCTTTAACACAAGTTCATTTTCCACTAACCCTTGAACCCTTTAAACTGACTCATTATTAAATACTTATATAGATTTTTATTATTTTTTTATGTGACGGTCAAGAGTTCTAAATTACAAAATAAAACCACCCAGAACAGAAAATGCTACTAAATCATTTTGAAGAAACTTTACCTTAACACCTGCCTGTTAGTTGGCTCAAGCCACAGAGATGCTGTACATGAGACTGGACACCATGAACACCATCTGCATAGACAGGTAATCTTAGTGCACGTTTACTTTTCCTCAATGACGGAAAACCTCAC